TATCCAGCCCTCTCCATGATTAAGCCCCCTCACTCAACACTTACTCGAAGGGAGCCTGCTTTTCCACCGCTGCAGGATTCATCTCACAAACAAGAAATGTGGCACTGTCTGGTGAAGATCGATACTCTTCTGCTTGTGGAGCGCATGTTCCAATGGCGCAGCCAACTTTGGTGCTCTTAGACCAAAGAAGGTGTGCGAGGTTGGCGCCGTCGGGTTCCGTCCAGAACGGCGTCCACGCCTCCTCAGTATCAGTTTCAGGGTATGACGTCAGCTTTCTGAGGGAAGAGCAGCAGTCGACATAAAAATACCATGCAGAATTAGCATTTAAATCAATTGGATCAGCCTTGATGATGAAGATGAAGTGGGCTTCTGGCGGGCACTGGGAGGTATATAAGAGAATGGCGGCTATGATTATGAAGGATTGTTCGTCTCATTCTCTTCCCTTGTAAACATTTTACGAATGGATATAAAATCACGGCACAGACATGTCCTATCTTGTGTAATTAGACTATCTACTTGCTTGTGTGTTGGTGTTGTGCTGCGGTGAGTAAATATGTACTCACCCAAGTCCAGCCGTAAGAGCTTCCTGCACCGCTTGGCGATAGTTCTCGGCGCTAGCGTCTGTGAACTGTGCGACAAATTTCTTCTTCTTCTGAAAATTCAAAAAGAAGGGAAATATGTCAAATATATCTTGGCGTACGCAGAAATCCGCAAACGTCTAGAAGCGTATCTATGGCCGCTAGTCGAACATTTAAACGGTGGCTTTACTCACGAGTGCCTTGATGAAGTTTTCACACGTATCGGCTGGCGGCTCAAATGAAGTCGTTGGGAAGCTAGTCTCTAGACCTTTAGCCAGGTCGCTGTCCTCCGCCAATACGCCAATCCGTACAGACAGCTGACCAACGCGGGCCAAGTTCACGGAGGTGTATGCATCTGCAAGCAACAAAAACACCGAAAGAGAGGCCGTCTGCCTGCCATCAGAAGCACGGATGAGCGCTCATCCCTCGCAGGTCTCCAGCAATGCAGTGCAGTTAAGGTACTTATTTTTTGCAGGAACAGAAAGAAATACTCAAATCAAGAAGATAAAAGCATGTCTGCTTACCTGTGCCAGCTTTTTTGACGGTGAGTTGCAAAGCTCCTGCCGCCGGCTGTAGCCCAGAGAGCGCCACGAGGCAAACAACAGCTGCTCCCTTGAAANTGAATGACGAGTAAGCAGAAGCCTGGGCTTGTCCAGCTTGTCGCCTATCTCTGAGCCGCTAGCCACCGTACGGGCGGGCCTGCCTCAACTCTGATGGTTCTCCCGTGCACACGAGGACTTGAATAGACAGACAAACTAAATAAATCCAAATCAATTAAAAACTATGAATAGGAAACAGGGAAAGCAACCGCGGGCGGCTTGAATCAAAAGAAACCAGAGCTGGACCAGGTTGCACACACACCAGTACCACACACGACTCGTAAGTAATCAGCTCACACGAAAGTGTATGAGTTGAAATGTGGCTACAATAATGATAATCTCTCTTCGTTTTACATTTATATTGGAGTTCCAGTTTGCTATATCAAGTGGAGCCGCTTGAGGCGGAGCTGCAAGCCGTAACAGATCATGCTTTTGTCGGTCGATGCAGAGAACAATATGAACGATGGGGGTTTAATTTCCTCAGCTGAGGAACGAAATCAAATAGTTAATTGTTTTAATCCTTAAATTCCAGAAATAGATTCTATAGACATTCTAATTCGCGCCATGAATAGAACAACTGACAGCCGCTGAGGCGATCGAAGTGTTTGGCTCAGATTGATTGCTTCGCCACAAATCCGGCTGCAAGTCAGTTGATTACATCGATAGTAAATGTTTTTTATACTTGTTTTCTATGTTTCCCATGTCATCCATGCCTGTATCCCCTATATATAGCCCCTATTACTTCTCCAGTTATACCATTGGTATACCCTTTTTTTATCGTGTTGAAACCATCATTATATTGTTATTATTCTTACTGAGCATTTATTCTTGCAAAGAAGGCATTTTTATTAATGTATAAATCATAGGCGATGAACGCCGATCAAGTGAAACGCAGCGCGTAGCCAATAGAAAGATGTGGTGGCATCTTATGGCAGTAGCCTGGCTGTGGTAGATCTACAGATTTGTAATTATCTCTTTATTTCTATTGAGACATCTGCAATAAGGTTATCCTTTAGCAT